TGTAGTCCATCACAGAAGGGAGCTTTGGCTGCTTTACAACACACACAGGGACCATGGAGAACAAAAGTGCCAAGCAGATTCAGAGATGATTTGAGGATCTACAGCCGAGTGATACACAATAAGATACATTTTTGTAAATAGGTAATTGAATGTATTTTTTTAAATGTAGTTTTTTAGTTTAGTGTCACTTTAAATTCACTAAAAAAGGTTTAACTATAAAAGAAGAGGAAGACCTCGCCTCTCCCCCAGTGCTGCCAAACGCCTCTACATTGAAGATAATTCTTCCTCTGAAATCTGCAGAGAAGCTACCACTTCCCCATTGCATTCATTGGTTCCTTCTGCTGCTGTATCCTGTTGTGATGTGGAGTTAGGTGGGAGGCAGTGACGTGCGGTACCTTCCGTGCTGAATGAGGCATTCCCCCTGCCTGCCCCAGCCCTCCCCCTGCCCGCCGACGCACGCACCACCCCAGAACGCCAAAACCCCAACATGGTCACCAAGCTATGTGTAGAGGAAGGGAGGAGCCTCCCTTTCCCTCACTTGCTCATCACTGTTAAGGCATAGAGATCGATATACTCAGTGTGTCTTTCCATGCTGTGTAACCTCTTATAAGCCAGTCTGAAAGGAGAAAAAGCTGTAAGCTTCAGACTTGAAGCTGACATCTTTTTTTCTCCAGAATACTAGGTGAGGCCCTGCCTCCCCTGACCGCATGATCACAGCAGGGGACACAGGTAATTGACACTCGTGGAAGTGTTGGTTTCGTAGTAGATTTCAGAGGAAGTCTTCTCTCCAACCTGCTGAGAAGCTAACACTTCATGTTCCAACAGGTAAATGTTAACAGTTCCATGTGTTTGTGTTCCTTTAAATACCCCAGAAGTACAGGAATATACCTGTTGATCTGCCAGAAATGCTTTTCTTTTTCCTGTTGTGTCTTTTGCAAAATAACTGCTCAAGCACTCTCAGCTCTCTTCAACATAAAAGTTAAACATCTGTAGTTCAAGATAAGAACTAGGAGGTCTAAATAGACTTTAAAATAAAGCAGGAAATGTGAGGAGGACATCATTTAATCAAAAAGTTATAACAAAATGCTTCCAAAGGTATATTTTTATTCCTGCTAGCTGCATTATTGATGGATATGATCTGTTATAGATTAGGACAGGGCCATCAGCAGGATAAGTACACTAAAAGTGCACTTTTCCTTTAAGAGGCTGATAACCCCATGTCGTGCATTTTAAGACATACAGTTTAACCAAAATATTATGCAAATGTATGTACATAATGCAAAAAAACAGGCATATTTTCTGGCTGCTGCTGCCCATGGGACAGTATACGTATTACAATGACCAGGCTGGCTAGGAATTTTCGTTTGCCCAGCATGTACAATCTTTCTGCATCTGATAATGTCTGTGCTGTAAGTGAAACAGTTCAGTGTAATGGGAGGCTTTCTAATGCTTATTCATTATTTATTCTCTTCATATTTATACCCTTGGCTTACTGGAAATTGCAACCGATCTCCAGCTGCAAAAGTCTTTCAGCTCCGCCAGAATTCGTGGAACCTGATTTTTCTTACTCTCTTCCTGGTGCTTATCATAGGATGCCAGGTTATAAAACTGTCCATCATTATTTGGACCTAAACTGAAAACATGACATACTGTAATCTTAATGCAGTTTTATATTTTAAAAAATACAGCAAACCTTATTTCATACAAGTCAAATCTAGTTTTTATAAGGGTTCACATGCCAACAGTTGCACTGGGAGAGTTAACAATCCAAAAACCTTTTGTAGTCACAAGCTCTCAGGGGGACTAAAATAACCAATGATTAATTCAGTGTCTCTCAAACTTTTATCAGTCATGCCCCACTTTGAAAGCAGTTGAAATGTCGTCCCCCATCCCTACACTTGAGCCCTACACTGTCTGGCCCAAAAAAATAAATCAACCACCTGGATTTCAGGCAGTGTTATGATCTGGGATTGCTTCAGTTGGTCAAGTCTAGGTTTAGCAATGTTATGTGCCAAAAAAATGTCAGCTGCTACCTGAATATACTGAATTATCATGTTTTTCCATCAATGGATTTTTTCTTCCCTGCTGGCACATTGGGCATATTCCAAGATGACAATGTCCGGATTCATCCGGCTCAAATTGTGAAAAAGTGATCCAGGTAACATGGACTGGCCACCAAAATGCAGACCTTAAACCCATTCAGAATCTTTGGGATGTGCTGGAGAAGAATTTACACAGTGGTCGGACTCTCTCATCATCACTAGAAGATCTTAGTGAAAAATTAATGTAACTCTTGATGGAAATAAACATTGCGACATTGCATAAGTTTAAAGGAATGATGCCATGGCTATTGTGTGCCATAATCAAAGCTAAAGATGGTCCAACTTAATATTCGAGTGTGTGACTTTTTTTGGACCTTGGATCCTTACATCTGTGGCACTATGTGGTAACCCTCCTTACCCTGTGCCACCATCTGATACCTTCCCTCGCCTCTATGACACCATCTGATATCTCTCCTTACCCTGTGACCCTTTTTTCTGTTCCCTGTAACACCATCCAATATGTGACACCCTTGACATGGTAACCCTGCTCCTGACTCATGTGACACTATCTTGTACCTCTCCTCACCCCTGTGGCACCATCTGGTACCCCTTCTCCTGACCCTTGTTACACCATCTGGTACCAGTTTTCATCTGATACCACTTTTCACCACTGGAACATCATCTGATGCCTTTCCTCACCCCTGTTACACCATCTGATACCTCTCCTCATCTCAGTTTGCATGGCACTAGTGCCCCTATATGGTGCTGATGAGTATATGAAATTCCATCTACGGCATTCGCTCGGCTACACGCTGGGTGGAACTTTTCTATTCGACCCACCTAATGAATTGGTGAAGTTGTATTCTCTTCAAAATCCAATCCTATGCAAACAAACATCCTGCTAGTTTTTATCTCTCCTGCATCTAAGTGAGCATTTATTTTGTGAAGTCTCCTTTTTTTTTTTTTTATTTTTTTTTTAGTGAATCTGCCTATATCATTAAAAGTAATAGCAATCTGGGAAAAATGTACTTTGATGTGATATGTGATGTGTATGTGAGATGATGTGATATGTGTTTTTTATCTTCTTTTTTTTTTTAATGTTCTTTTTACATTCTTTTTTACATAACATCTTTATACTACAAATAAGCATTTAATACCGGGCAGCTAAAACTGAGTGCGAAAAGCATATCGCCGCAGATAGTAAAAAGAACCCCAAAAATGGTGACATTTTAATAACAGCGGTGTCACAGAACATTGTGTTTCTTAAAGACAAGAACAGCAGAACCTGTTTTCAGATCATTTTATCTCTTATTAAATCTCCATACAGTATGAACAGAACGGGCAGGTTGGGTGGGGAAAAGTACAAGTCATTAGGAAGTATATTTATATTTAAGTCTAAGCTGGTTATCTCTGTAAACGACTAGAGTTTATAGGATTAGCCAATAAACATGTGAACAGAACGCTGGAGCTCCATCTGCTGGCTGGAAGTGTAAATATGGAATATTTATTATTATTTCATATCTAATCATTTTTAAGTTCTAATTGTAACAGAAAATATGTGCATCATTCGGTACACAAGCAGACAGTAGTAGTATAGGAGCAGGCAGAAGCATAGTCAGTGATCAAGCCGAGATCAGTAGCCAAAGGTATCAGGTTTAAGTTGGAAGGCAATAAGCGCAGTCGGATGAATCAGCAGCCAAGTTCAGATTTGAATCCTGACACTTGTCTAAGTGAGGCCGCCAGCCATTGTGCAGGTGGATGCGAGGTTGGATGAATTAGAAAACCTGAGCTAGTTATTATTGTTAACCCTGTTAAGCAGGGGGGCCCACGCTTTATTGACAACGTTTTAAAGTCAGCTCTGCCAACTTCACAAATGTTCTATAGACAGCCTTAAAGTGAACCTAGTATCTGAGATCTTTCTTCAGGTTAAGGAACACCTATAATATGTAATTCTAACATTAAACATGTATTTATTATCTATCACAGATATCACAGTACTCCCCCTGATAATACTTTTATCTGATTGTCTCCATCCTTCTCAAGAAGGACAGAGCCATCTTTGTTCAGGCATCAACCAGAGTCACTGTCAACTTTATGGATGGAGATACTGTCCCAGAGTTGATAGTCATACCGACTGTGGTTTTGGCTGTGTTGGCAAATATCTGATGCGGTCTTATCACTGGGAAAAGGGAGGCTAAGGAATGCTTCCGTCTACCAGCAGCAGACTGATGACATCATCTCAGCCTAGGCAAAGTCACTGGACTGGATTTCAAGGACTGCTTTTTGTATACTGTGACATGTTAGGAGTTCATTCATAGAGAGTTGTCAAGTCTGCATAATTTTAAATGTTCTAGGACAGAGAGATTTTCCAGCATTGTGGTTGGACCTGATCCTTCACACTTCTGCTTAGGGACGGACATCTCTCTTGGGGGGAAAAAGAATCTTCCCTTCTATGGTCACTCTAAAGGCATCTATAATAAATGGCAAAATCCCTTTGAGTCAACTAGTCACTAATTTTGAAGTCACTAATTGACTCCCTATAAAGTGGTCTCTCAAAATAAGACCATTGTATCATCATTTGTTGGCCCTATGTTTTCAATTGCAAGCAGCTTCCGTCTCATGATTGCTCAAGTGTAGCTTAGACCTAAAGCTGGTCACACATGATAATTTGATTGTACAGTTTCCGTTTGGATTTATAGTTTGAGGTCTTACATGATTGTATGTAAATTGAATAGATTCTTTGGGTAGGAGATTGTACAGGCTTTTGAATGTAACTTGGCCAACCCAAGGGAAAAGGGCAATGAGCAAAGGTTGGTAAACAGTATCAAAGACAGATCTGTAAATTGAAAAGTGATCGGACCTTGAGGGTTAGTATTCTGCAGTTTGCATATTGTCAGCATATTTTGCATTTTTACTAAATTATCCGGCAATTATATGTTTCTATATTATTCTCCCCAGGTCGCGCTTTACTGCGACTCACGGACAAGAAGCTAGAACGGATGGGGATCAGTCCAGAGAGCCAGCGGCAATATGTCCTACAGCAAGTCCTCCAGCTCAAAGTACGGGAGGAGGTCCGGAACCTACAGCTGCTGACACAAGGTAGACAGAGCCAGTTGCATGTCTTTAATGCGCCTGACATATTAATTCGGAACAAACTTGCCCTTTCATGGTATGAATTACTTTCTAAAGGTCTCCGGAGGTAGTTTAAAGAAAGCAACAGTAGTTCTAAAGAACAATGCAGGAATGGAGATGTGGAATTGACCACTTGGCAGGATGAATGTCGTCTTAATCCACAAAATATCGGTGTTCTAAAGGTTTAAATGTCAAGCTGCTACGATGAAAATAGCTTTAAAGACCATATCCGAGAGCCGTAAATGTAGTCATTTGTACTTCTGTTCTTTCTTTTTTTCCTGTGCTGTACCTGGTCGTAAACAAGGTTCAAAATAATGCCAAAAAAAAACAAAACAAGCACACACAAAAGATAAAACAAGAAAGCCAGGTAATGAGATTTCTCTTTAATAGGATCTTCCTGGATACGGAGAGAATAAAACCCACCTCTAGAAAAAAAAAAGAAAGGAAATGTTATTAAAGGTGATCTATCATAAAGCAAAATAACTGTATTAGGAGTCTCAGATGAAAGCTTTCCAGGCTGCAAGCTAGTTGTGGTGTGGCAAAGTCAGTGATGGTGAAGCTGGCAGGAACTAGTATGCAGTCTAGCAAAGATGGAAAACGGATGGAAACATCTTTTCGAAGCTTCTCTCACAGAGGATAGTGCTGATACCTATGTTGCATTCTCCTTTTTGGGGGGTTGAATACTTAAGTTGTATTCCAGGAACTTTTGAGGCCCCCCCTTTTCCCACTTCCTTCTTTTTCGCTCCCTACTTTGCTCTGTCATTCCTCAAGCACAATATTAGCGGTTTATGTAAAATTCCACCACCTTCCAGCATCACCATTTTATTAGTCACCACCACTCCCTGAGTATCTGCACTCTAGATGCTATTGCATATTTCTTTTGTGGCGTTGTATTTTAATATGCTTCATTTTTATGACCATATTCAGTACCATATGTTTCAGTATGGAATGGTGACAACACTACATATTTCTCTGTATGCCAAATCTTTTATTCTGAAGCGTAAATAAAAAGATTTATTGTAGGTAAAAGAACTGAGTTGAATTCAACTGTTTTGCAGCTTGAGTGCAGCTTTAGGTTTGAAACAAATAATCAACTTTTAAATCTGAACTCCAGGCAAGTATAAAACATTGTTATTTTCTTTCCTCTACTGAACTTTTTTATCAGTGCGGCATTTGTATTTAGAAAAAAATAATAATTTAAGGCCCCTCCACCTGCTCAAAGGTGTCCCCGGTATAATTAACAGTTTTTCACTAACACCAAGACCCTGGTTTGTGTGTGTTTTACTATGGACCAATCCACACATATTTGTTGAATGTCTTTATGCGCTCTAAAACAAAATTTATATGGAGCTGTAAACCCGTAAAAAATCAGTTTACTAATAAAAAAACATAAAAATTACCATGACAGATTGAAACATGTGTTTGTCTAATCCTAGGCTATATACACTATATTGCCAAAAGTATTGGGACATCCCTCCAAATCATTGAATTCAGGAGTTCCAATCACCTCCATGACCACAGGTGTATAAAATCAAGCACCTCGGCATGCAGACGCTTCTACAAACATTTGTGAAAGAAAGGGTCGCTCTCAGGAACTCAGTGATTCAAGCATTGTACCGTGATAGGTTGCCACCTGTGCAATAAGTCCATCTGTGAAATTTCCTTGCTACTAAATATTCCATGGTCAACTGTTGGTGGTATTATAACAAAGTGGAAGCAACTCGAAACAACAGCAACTCAGCCACGAAGTGGTAGGCCACGTAAAATGACAGAGCGGGGTCAGCGCATGCTGAATCGCACAGTGCGCAGAAGTCGCCAACTGTCTGCAGAGTCAATAGCTAGAGACCTCCAAACTTTGTGTGGCCTTCAGATTAGCACAACAACAGTGCGTAGAGAGCTTCATGGAATGGGTTTCCTTGGCCGAGCAGCTGCATCCAAGCCTTACATCACCAAGTGCAATGCAAAGCGCCAGATGCAGTGGTGTATAGCACGCCGCCACTGGACTCTAGAGAAGTGGAGACGTGTTCTCTGGAGTGACGAATCACACTTCTCTGTCTGGCAATCCGCTGAACGCGTCTGGGTTTGGCGGTTGCCAGCAGAGCGGTACTTGCCTGACTGCATTGTGCCAAGTGTAAAGTTTGGTGGAGGGGGGATTATGGTGTGGGGTTGTTTTTCAGGGGTTGGGGTTGGCCCTTTAGTTCCAGTGAAGGGAACGCTTAAGGCATCAGCATACCAAGACATTTTGGACAATTTCATGCTCCCAACTTGTGGGAACAGGTTTGGGATGGCCCCTTCCTGTTCCAACATGACTGCGCACCAGTGC